AAAGATGAACCGTGCAAGAAGTACAGCTAAAACGAACAGGCCTGCAAAAATGGCGACAAAGTGAGTAGTCAGTCTAGTTAGCATAAGTTTATGGTTTAACAGATGCACGTTTTATTATTGCCGACAGTTAATAGTTTCTACAAATTGGAATTCTAATTAAAGAACACGGTGCAGTTATTGTTATATACGTAAAAAAAATCGTTTCGATGTTTTCTAAATAGGTAAACGCGCACGTCAGGTCGCACGAAACCTACGGAAGTCTAGGCTTGCAGTTCTAACCTCAACATGTTCCACGGGTATGTATTTTTATTTAAATTTATTTAATTTTATTTACGAATGTTTTAGACAATCTAATATTATAGTCTTTTCGACAGTAAGTTCGGTTTTAGATATTTAAATCCCGTATTTATAGTCGCAGTTCTGTTAAGAAACTGCCGAAACTAACCTTAAGATGTGAAACAGTTTAATAAACAAATCTTGAGAATCAACTTGATATTCGTAACGTTTGTAATCATATAATTCAAGTGAGGAACTTGGATGAAATTTATTTTGAGACACAGTTTCAATCTTGAAACTGCATTTCTTTATTTGAGAAGAGATTATACTTAAATTAAAAAATATATATGTAATAAGAATTCTCAGCAATTTTCAAATTAGTTACAAAGAATAGTTATTAAAAATATATCTTATATAATATATTATTTAATATTGTAATACATAATGTAAGAATGTAAAATATTTAGTATTATAATATGTCATGATAAAAAAAATATAAATTTTAATTTAGTCCTGACTATGCATTAATTGAGAATAATCTGTCGTCCAGGTGCAAGAGATTCTGTGCGAGTGGCCTGAGGCTACCTGCACAGATCGCGTCGTCGAGACACGCCGGTACGCAGTCCAAGGCAGAAGCGAGGAAACGGAGAAGCCAGCTTTTCGACCAAGAGAAGCGAAGGCAACGATCGGAACTGGGTAGAATCGAAAAGATAGAAGTGAAGTACAAGTCGGCGGAAGACGAGATTGTAATGGCGATGAATCGGAACATCTCTACGCCGTACGACTGTGCCAGGCACATTTCCGAAGGCGTCGCCAAGATGTCCGCCATTGCCTCGGTGGACGGTCACGTTTGGGACATGCACAGGCCGTTTACAGGCAGCTGCGAATTGGAACTGGTGACGATGCAAAGCCCGCGGATACGCGCGGTTAACTATGCCTTCTGGCGGACTTGTTCGTTGATCCTGGGCGCTGTGGCGGACAGCGCGTTCAAGGATCACATAAATGTACATTTACACAGCTTTCCCATCCCGGTAATCAGCTCTGGTAGCTTTACTTACGACATATTCGTCGATCTGCCGGACTGGCGGCCAACCGACTCTGAGTTACGTGCTATGTCTGCGCTCTTTGTCAAGTTGTCGAATTGCGAATTGCAACTGGAAAGATTGGAAGTGCCTTGCAGCGTCGCGCTGGATATGTTTCAGGTAGAGATGGAATAAAATTGGCAATTAGTTTGTCAGTAAAACGCAACGCTCTTAGTTAAATCTGATATTTAAATTTTTATGTGGAACTTATATTTAAATTACGTTTATACTTTAATGCTGGAACAATTATATATGTAACGTTATATCTGATTTCAAATTTACAAGATAACGTTAAACAAGTTTTTTTAACTTTCTATCCTTTTACTTTGCTGATATTATTTTACGAAATTCAAATACTATTTTTTAGAACTACTTGAGAAAGGTTTGGTCATATCTGCTTTCAGGATAATCCTTTCAAATCCGAGCAGATACCCAATATCGCCAAACACAACGACAACGATAAGGTAACATTGTATCGCCTGGGAGACCATGTGGACATCAGCAAAGGTCCCATGGTGGGCAATAGCGGCTTGATAGGACGCGTTACTGTATCGGCAGTACATAAACTTACAAATGCGGCCGTGGATGGTCTGTATCGCTTCCAGGGCATTGCTCTCCCTAAAGGTATTCTGCTTAATCATTTTGCCTACAATATCCTGGAAAATCGCGCTAAGAAATTGAATGCTACCACCACGTGGCAACCTCAAGCACAGGAAGAAGAGGTCAGCGTAAAGGCGTCCGCGAATTAAAGACACTCAATATTTCATTCAATATTTAAGGAAGTACTCGTGTAAATAAATGCTCTTTCAGTCATTTGATTGTAAATGTATCATTCTTTTGTTGCATTTGTACAGATTGAGGTTCCTATTCCTACCGCAGCTATTTTCTTATTACTATTGGATTATGATGTTAGCGAAAAATTAAATTTTTGCCGTGCAATGTGTACAGTATAGAATAATTTTTTTTTAACTATTTTTATCTAATAAATCATTAGAGATGGGGTTTGAAAACTTGAGCATTCGAATAATAAAATGTACGGACCGTTTTATTTCATCTTCAGTTACATAACAATAAAAGTTGATTGCTAATTGCTAAATATATTATTGTACATTAGATATATGAATGTACATATATATGTAATTCAATGACATTGCGAACGGTTTTTTCGAGGCCCGCGCACCTCCCAGGTGAGGGTATCTGGCAATCTATTGGTCTTGGATACCACGCATTTTGTACTTAGTTTCAGATACAATTCCTGATGCAAGTTCGTATCGCAGCCGTCAAGATTGTCATTTTTCAGATTTGTCCTTGCCGCTAGCGGCGCCAATTCTGGCGAACATCTAAGTAACCGATAATTTGCTCTTATTATTTTACAGTAATATTATACAATGGTTATTATATTAATTATAATATTAGAAAGAGGAAATTATAGTTATCGTTATTAAATGATTAGTTTATAATATCATTGAACGAAGCGAAGAGATTAAATTGTTTTTATAAATATCTCTTTCAATCTCAGACATTTTATCTCGTAAGACGGAGGCTCGAGAAGATTATACTTTCAAGAATCTGAAAAAAGTGGCTTTATTTCTAGTAGCTTCAGAACAGTTATAGTTCGAGAAAAGACAATAAGGTTTTTAAACAAACTGTTCATATAGATTTGGAAAGGTTTCGCAACTTTATTACTGTAACGTTACTACCGTAATCTTTGTAAATAATTGTTTTGTTCTTGTTGAATTGCCTTAATTGGACTCCAATGATTAGAACGAAGCAAGGCGGCATGTTGGTTTCCTCTTCAAATACTTCGCCGGTGTTCCCCGCGTTACTGGCCCTCGTGTGCTTGAATCTACTCTCGTAAGCGTACTTGCTCATGTTACCATAGTAGAAGAACTGCCCTCCGTATTCGCCGTATCCCGAATACATGGAGGCCGGCGGCAGTCTTCGGGACGGCGCCTGATGGAGATGCGAGAAATCTTAATTGACGGAAATATACGTTTTCTACTACATATCGACTAAACGAGTTTTCGATGAGTTAACGGACTCTTTTGTCGGTGTAATAATTAATAAACTTGACAGTTTGCAAAGTCTTTCGACAGATCCGAGCTGTCTGGGCAACCGTTCAGCAATTACGTCAAGTTTTACGAACCGTCACGCGAAGACCGAGCTTGCGTTCGTAGTGCAATTTATGGAACAGATGCTTGTTGTAGCTGTTGACCAGCCGGCGTAATCTCAGATACATATATCGCTGCTTGTCCCGCCAGAGACACTCGTTCTTTGCATCAGGCACTCGCAAGCACGTGAACCATGCGCGTCTTAGGACGTATTTCAGATGCATACTGACCTGGAATAGATGAACTTATATATGTATAATATATAAATATGATATATATTTCATAGCTCTATCTTGATTCAAAATTTTTATAACTCATTTTTGTTATAAAATTTGAAATTTTTTTAAATAGTATTCGAAACGATTTTTATCATATATTCAAGACAGTTCGTATTTTGAATTTATAAATATCGCATCCTCTTGAAAGAATATTGATCCCTTACCATGGGGTTGCCTGTTCTCGACGAAACCCTGAATGATAACACCTGCCGACCCTCCTCCAGACAGTCCAACACGTCGACGATCTTACACCCCGAGACCAGCGCAGATCTATTGACGGTTTGTTTTTACTGATCGTTGATTAAACGAACGTGTGAGCGATAACTATTCGATTGATAATTGTTGATTCATTAATTGATCGCTAATAAATGGTAAAGTTCGGTAATCGTAAAATTCCATGTTTATTGCCCTGACGAGACTGATGAGGCGAAAAGAAGGAGACGTTACTCATTTATTCTGCGTTCGGTGACCTTCTCGAAGTGGTCCATGAAATTCTCGCAACTGCGCGTGAAGATCTGCAGGTCGATGTAGCTGAAGACACGCGATTCTTTGCAAGGATTAAGGATCGTCTGCAGCAGGCAATTGAGATTATCGAGGACCTTACCGCCGTAGAAGCACGAGACGGGTAAACTGCGCGACCTTTTCAACGTGAATAAAATAAGCAAGGGAATATCGACCTGTTTTTTATATATATTTATGTAATATTAACAATTCTCTTAAAATTAATACCCAGTAGCCTCAAGTAAGCAAAATATATTTCAAGTCGGAAGAGAATATTTGAATAAAGATCGATTGAATAATACGGTCCTTTATATCATAATGTATAAAAGGTATGCTTAAGTTCAAGATCTCTAATTTTCAGAAGTATCAAAAAATATTTAGACTATACTTACTAGAGAAGATACGGTATTCGGCGTTGGCATACAAAAAATACAAATAACAGCATATATTTTTAAAGCGTGAAGATATGGGAAACAATATTAAACACAAGCAATTTTCAAGTCTGGTGACAAATATACTTAAATAGGACTAATTCAATAAATTTTAAGGGTTTTACAACAATGATCTAACATTAGGATCTAACGTATTTTTATTGTTACTATTACTGCTACTATTAGAGAAGATTCGAGGCTGAGAAACTTGGAAACCTTGGATGGGTGTATCGCCACGTGACCGCCTTCAGCATCCGATATTGGGACCGAATCAGTTCCAGCGCGTTGAAAATTTTATTGCACTCTAGTAACTCCATGTCAGTTTTCACACTGTTCATGAGGTTTTCCGTACGTTTTATTGCAGTCTCAAGCTTGGTCCCAGCTACTAGAAATTCGCTGTTCAACACCGTGGCAGCGATGTCGCGGCAACGTCTGTTTAAGAAGGATCAAGAGAGAGATAAGAAAGTGGATATCGTTATTTAGTTTCTATACTTTTTTGGGAGTATGGATCTTTAGAATAAAGAGAGCTGAAGAGCCTGAGAGAAAAATAGATTTTTAGGACGTATAAATTAAGATTTATAAAGTAAATCCAAGAAAAATAAAGAAATTCAAAAATCGCCTTTTAAACCTAAAGGTTATAAGTTGGATCTTAATTATTTGGGATTAAAATCCTCTTTCCAAGACTTCTAATTCTGAGATTAAAGACTTGAGAGTAAAATATTAAAATAGATTTAGGATCGCGAGGCTTGCAACAATACAGAAATTACTTGTACGAGATTTATCAATACATAAAATGATAAAATAACAATTTCTAAATGAACATCTATAAAAAATCCTATAAATTAAAAAAATTACTTCCTAAACGTTCAATAATTAAACTGACGGTATTTTTTTCATTCATGCATATTTAGATAATTCTAACAGATAATTCTGATAGAAATTCTTCATAAATTTTAAAACAGCCTTTATTTTTGCAAGATTTGGCAGGGATCTACCTGGAGACTAAACGAACAATGCAGGCAACGTCGTGTAACGGCAGCATTTTTAGAATGATGCTGAGGATTTCCGGCGGTAAAATGTCCAACGTGCATCCCTTGTGTCCTCGTGCGCTCTGTCTGCATCGTGAGGATACTCTTCGGCGTTTCGCGCTCATTTGGCTCTTTTCAGACTCAATGTCGTTCTCGCTCGCGAGTTGCGAGCAATCACAACCGATCGCGATCAATCATGAAGATTATGTGCGTTTTCGCATGTCAACCACGATCGATGGGATTTATTTTCGGTTATGGAACAGGAATTCCCAGAAATTTTGCAAGAATCTTTAGAGGAATAAGAATTCCCTAATTTGCGTGAAACAAAGGAGTCTTATATTACAATTTTATCATTGAGACGTTAGCTTCAGCCCGAAAACAAGCGAGAAGTTATGACCGAAACGAAATACGTGCATCAATTCAAAATCCGTTTCTGAAAAGATAAGTATATTTTTCTCTGTTTAAAATAAGGCTTGCCACATACAAAATTACATAGCTGCATGGACATAGCATGTGGAGATCAAGGAATAAAAAATACAAGATAATTTCTCTTGCTTAAGATTTATTTTTATATATATATTTTTCGTAAAGTATAGAATAATTGAATATAATCAGCATAATGTTCACATGATTTTGATTTGTTAATTATTAAAGTCAATTAAATTCTTGTTTGTCATCCAACTTGAAAAAGTTGAGGTTTGGACATATTACTTTCTGGTCGTTGAGATACACTGGAATCGTGAGAACTTCAAGTAAATTCTCTCTCATTAAAGCCTTCAGAATTCTAAAGATCCAAAAGAAGGATCCAAAGATCTAAATATATAAGATGTTAATCCAAAATTTCATAAATTTGAAAATAAGTTTAAAATTTTAAATTACAAATTTTAATTTTCAAGAAATTCAATTTCAAGATTCCATCTCTCAAGTAACCAAAATTCCAAGGATCCAAAGTAAGAATCCGACTTTCCAAGCATTCAAAGTTTCAAAGAGGTTCCATCTTCTGGAAAAAGAACCAACATTCCAAGGATCTAAGCATCCCAAGTTCCAAAAAGCCGAGGTACCAAAGGCCCAAAAGGATGCAACATAAAAAAGAATCTGGATCCCGTCGATCCGAAAGTTCTCAAGACGTCAAACTCTTACAATTAGTTGAACATGAAGGATCCATAGTAATCTTTCTAGACGACAAAGGCCTCTCCGACTCTTATGCGCCAAAATTTACCGGCATTAGCAATGTGAATTTGGCCTGATCAATGTTCGCCTCTTCGGCCGCGCAGGGTCCAATGCTATCTAACAGACTCTGTATTGCGCTCTGGTTACTGGGATGCTTTCTCTTGGTATGTTCGCGACGGTGCTTGAGCTCTTTGAACGTTTTACCGCACTGCTCGCAGGAGTACGGCCTGGCGGCTTCATGAGAGCGCACATGACCCTCGTAGTGGCTCTTTCTGACGAATTTCTTACCGCATTGACCGCAATCAAACTGGAAACGGCCTTCGTGAGCGGCCACGTGCGAGCTCAGAGTCCATTTGGTTTTGAAAGTCTTTGAACAGTAATCGCACCTGATCTTCGAATCGTTCTTATCTGCCCTTCGAGGATCCTTCTTTAGCAACAGCATCTCCTCCAGAAGGAAGTCGTCCTCAGCAGAATTTTTCGTTGCTGAGGACTTATCCATCATCACTTGACTGACTTGACTCTGCAGCATATTCCTATGCTCCTCATGTTTCAAGTGACTGTTCTTTGACGTTGTCTAAACAAATAATAACATACATAATTATTTACGTGCACATTGAGAACCATACAACAAATTTGATAATACAAAATGAATGTCTCGCTCTTATTCTCTTGATAAAAATTGTCGATCATTTCAATTCTTTTTCTACTGCTCCAATTATGTACAAAAAGAGATATATGGAGATTGTTTCAGTGATGTACTCTTTGAGATTAAAGGCGCAAGGATTTAAGAATTAAAAAAATATTGAATAAGACGTACTTTGCCATGTGAGGCCAAATGGGCTTTCAGCTTATCCTCATCATTGTACCTCTTCTTACATCGCGGACAGGGATATCCACCCTTGTCTTCCGTGCCGCGCAGAAGGGCGCCTCGTAAAGTCGCTTCGCTCGCTGTGTTTTCGATATCGACTTTCTGTTGGTCAGTTTGCTGCAGCTTCTCCTTACGCGTGTGCCGAATTATATGCCGCTTCAAATCGTGCGCTCTGGAGAATGCCCGTCCGTACCGCGCACATGTGGGAAAAGGACAGCCTTTCGTTCTGTCGTTCCTCGGACTGGGAGAAGAAAAGAATTTAAGTATTTAAATTTTCCAATCCTAAACTGTTAAATATCGCAACATTGTTCACTAGCAATCGCTCGTTGAAATTAATTGGAAAGAGAAGAGTGGAAATTGACTTTTAATGAAAAATAGTTTGAAGTTGTGTAGCTGAGATGTCGAAGATCTTGAAAAGATTTAATAATTTGAAGGATTTGAAAATTTTATTATTAAGAAATTATTGAAATTCAACAAAATTGAACTTCTATCCCAAGAATATTCTTATATCGGGAGTAAAGTTGTATCCGATTCAACATGCGCATAACATACTTATATGCTTCACCCGCAGATCGTATCGAGAGGATCTATAGGTTGCGGGAAGGAGATCTATGGAAAATCTCATTGTTTTCCATACCTTCGAGTAGGATTGGCAGCTGGGACTGGTCGTTTCGTATCTTTGCCGCAATCCTTGCAATTCTTGTCGGCTTTCTGACTAGCCATTGTGGTCAGCTGCGCTGATAACGGTATCACGATGGAAATGGTTTCGTTGGACCCTGGGGTGACGATAGGCCCAACGTGGATCGCTGGCGGCGTCGCTAACGATATACCACTTTCGTTGTTCCTACTCATCTTACGAACAACCAAGTCCTTAGGAAGGCTATTTACTAAGGTAGAATCTACACAATATGTTACAATTATTAATACAGAAACCTTGTTTTTTAATTAATTAATCTCTTATTCTAACGATCAATACTATTATTATCTATGAATCTCTAATTTCGAAAACAAGATAAACTAAGAGATCAGAAGGTTTAATTAATTAAAGTTTTCAATTAAAGAGACTGTGTTGCATAATAATTTCCTAATTGTTGAACGCAGTTAATTTAATTAGCGGGATGTGCATGTAAAATGGTTAAAGAAACATCTATTTGCAATGCAGGATTAAAATTTTGGATATAATTTAGATATAATTGCAAATCAATCTTGATTGTGATTTCATAATTATTGAGTGAAAAATATGCACGGGTAAGTACCTCCTATCTGTGAAATATAAATGTTACGGTAAAAGTAGAAAATTATTACATTTATCGAAGACTTTGGAGAAAGTAAATAATAAAAACAAACACATGTATACTATATTAATAATAAACATATATGATATATTACTTAATTATTAGCAAGTGTGCTTACTGAAACGCCTTGAAGGCGTGCCAATTAACGTAAACTCTGCAAACTGCATATCCCATTAACACAAGTGTTTTGTTAATTGAATCCGTGCAATTTGACTTTATTTAACTGAAATAAAAAAAAGCAAAAGTATAGTTTATAACATAATCTTGCTCATACGATACCCGAAATAATAAATATATTATGCCAAATATTAACCATAAATGAATAAATGAATTAATAAATGAATAAAAAATTGATCAAAGAGATATAAAAGTAAACAAGTATTTTTATTTAAATAGATTGTGATTTTCTAATGGTTTTCGTGCGCGCACTCTTGCTAAATTAGTATAGAATTGTAAATAAAAAAATATCAACTGCTTTGTTTCTAATATGTTGTAAAAGGTACCGACAATCCCCTGCCTCACTTTATAAATAAACTTTGCAAACGATAAAATAATTACACACCCTAATTTCATGCCTTCACTGTAACATACCGTACACCGTTGTATGTACATACATGCTATATATACATTCCATGAATTTCAGAAGGGTTAGCGTAAACCGCGATCGATGGAAGGTCGCCTGTCTATCGCGTACCAATCATCGGCGTACCATCGCCTCCGCGAGGAATACAAAAAAAAAAGAAGAATAATAATAATCGGGAATCGACACCAGTGAATATAATTTCGGAGTCACGGAAATCTCCATCTACATTTCCTCATTTTTCCTCGCGACCGATCGCTCCAAGCGTCGACAAGCCGGGAATTCGAACCCATCGAAGGTGTACGTACGCGTATCGGCCTCTCGATCCCCGTTTCGGATGAGGCGACATTACGCGAGAGGGGAAAAGCGTCGTCGCGACGCCCGCGCGGCGGGACGCGCGATCTCGCGCTCGGAAAATAACGTATGATTCACGTACGCCGAACGCCGACTTTTGTCCGACGATGAGAAAGGGGAGAAAAGAGGAGGAGATTGCTCCGAAGTGCCGTGGCATTACCGAGAGGTCACTGAGGCGCCACGAAAGCGTCGCCGATGGCTCCACACTGTCCGACTGTCACCGCAGGCCGCAGGCAGCAGGAGGCAGCAGGTTCCCCACTTCCCTCTCGGTGGAGTCGAGCGTCTCGCACGCGACGTCGCGACGCGGAGTCGGCGGCGTCGGCGGAGTCGATCCGTCGGTCCGCGGCCCGCGCGCGCGATTCGCCGAGGGTGACACGAGCGGGGGACGAGATCGGCGAGGGCGACAGCAGGGCGAGGGTCGGCGGAAGCGTCACCGACGCCGCGCAACGCGACGCAGCGAGAGGCCCTCCTCGGTCGCTCGCGCTTCTCTCTATCCGCTCAGTTTCCCGTTTCACGCGCGAGCCTTCCAGGAAGGGAACGACGTCGACGAAGCTCTTCCGCGGGGACACCTAGGTTCGCGGGATCCGCGCGAACGCACCGGATCGAGGACAACGTGACGGCGTAGCGTTGCCTCGCGTAGCACGCGCGACACCAGGAGTGGCCATTTTAAAGCCCGAACGCCCGAAGTTCGCCTCACGCCTCACACGTCGCGTTTCGCCTCCCTCGGCACGGCCGTGCCGACTAGAGGTATACTCGTGCGCATGTCGGAGGCCGCGACCGTCTCGTCTCGTCTCGCCTCGCCACGCTTCGCGTCTCTGCTCTCTGTGGGCGAGAGAGAATTTGAGAGAATCTGTTTCCCCTACGTTAGGTTTGATGTTCTCCGTAGACCTTTATCTGATTGTTCTTGCCACGCACTTGAATATGATACATTATTTTGAAAAGTTCTTTTAATTAAATGGAGATAAGCATCATCTCTTCGGTTGGGCTGATTCTTGCCTAATAATATTTTTGTATGAATTTTATTTTTTTCAACTCGATAAACTGCGCGTCGATTATTTCTCGGTTTTATATTTACCCTTTTCAAGGTTTTCAATTTATTTTTATCGATTATTGTTATTTAATTTATTAAGTAACTATATTAAGGTAAATTAAAAATCTAAAATGAACTTAAATGTACATATATACGTATACATACACACACATTTTAATATGAATCTATGAATAAAAAGTCTTGAAATTTAAATAAATTCAAATAACATTCAAATAAAATTCAGAAAAATAAAATTTAAATTTTGCATCTAGTTTATAAACACGCAGACTTGTATTTATAAATAACAATGATACGTATGTTCGCGTACAGTTTTCTACGTACTTCTTGCGCGCAAATATTGACATTATTGGGCGTTTTGTTTTGCAGTTTCAACGAAAAAAAATGGGAAAGTCACGTGCGCGACCGCGCGACGATGTTTTAGTAGAGGCGACTCTCAAGTGAGCGCCACGTCGCGTTCTTGTCTCAGCTAGCCGAAATCAAATCAACACGCTATCCCATTTTCCTTCTTTTCTCTCATCGACCAGGTTTCTCTCTCACTTTCTTTCGTGCGATGAAAGTGTACTGCTGCTACTGCTCGATCGCACACGTCAAGTTCGATCTAAATACGATGGCCATTGCAGCCCAGCCAGGGACTTGGGCGGGAAGGAGGAATATGCTGCAAAGAAAACGCGAGCGAATTGCGCGCGCAGTCGATGATTCAATCGTAAGGTGATAATAGGTGCTTTTTCTATTTACATCAAAACTCAGATAATTCTCACTTGTGTCGTTCTATCCTTTTTGGTAATTAATGAATAATATAAAGACAGATGAATGACGTCACAAGTGAGATTTATCTGAGTTTTGATGTAAATGCGGAAAGCATCTAATATATAGGTGCTTTCTTTCCATTTACATCAAAACTCAGATAATTCTCACTTATTGTGACGTCGTTCTATCCTTTTTGGTAATTAATGAATAATAAAGACAGAATGACGTCACAAGTGAGATTTATCCTTGTCGTTCTATCCTTTTTAGCAATTAATGAATAATAAAGACAGAATGACACAAAAGTGAGAATTATCTGAGTTTTGATGTAAATGGAAAGCAACTAATATTTTTGCGATAGATGTTATGATCTTGTTTTTTTTAAATAATAATAGCGAGCGTGGCTCTCGTATATAACGTCAGCGAATATATTTTCGATTCCACGCGAAGGATTAATTATTCTATACCGAAGCGCGGTGTGTCTATCAAAATGCCGTATTATATTCCAAATTGTAAAACCCATTGTTGTATATTATTAGACACAAGTCTATTTTTATTTTATCATTTATTCATCTTCTCTATTATAAATAAACCTATTTTTATTCCTCATTGCAGGACATCGAATTGTCGCGCTTTAAAATATCGCAGTTACAGGAATTCGAGGTATCGCGGTGTTCGAAATTTAAAAATTTTCGAACTTTCGAAACTCAAGGAGACAACGATTAATCTTTAAAGAAGAATTTAAACGCACCGTGACCTAAATCACGTAAAATGATAATTTCAAGTATAATTTGGAGCAGTTTTCCAAGGGATTGGTAATTTGAGAATTTAAAAAATTTTCATTTTTTAAATCGAGATTCTGTGGTCTAGGATGTATGTACAAAATATTTCTCGGATATCTTCCATACAATTCTGAAGCATAAAAAATTGCAGTGTCTTTTATATATATAGTCGAGTATGTTGATTAACACCGTTCGACACTCCTTTTTCTCCCCCTCGAGACTCATTTCTCTTATTAACTAATGGTATCGTTAACGGGTATAGTCTGCGGAAAATAATTCGGCGGAAAGGTGATGAAAATTACCTTTGAAATTCAAAAGAAATTCCGAGACGTGCGCGCGCGTTCACATTTTCACGTGTATTTTTAATACACATCCTATAATATTATTTTAATAATATTCAAAGACTTTAATCTTGTATTGAGAGACAGAGAGAATAAGCACGAAGCGGTTTTTTTTATTTATTTTGGTTTTACTCAGCACACGTGGGTTGCTCTTGTTTCGCCATTGCGTTATATCAGCGAATAGAAATGTATATACATATTATATGAGAGAGAGATGCATCTTGAAAGTTAGAAAGAAAAGCCATTTGAAAAGCCACGAGAGAACAGGTATGGCGGATATCTACATTTATATAAGGATTTCGATTCTGAGAAGCCACTTCTGCTGTTGCGTAACTATGTCGAGCGAAGCGCGGTGTGTGTCTATCAAAACGCCGTATTGTATTCCAAATTGTAACTATTATAGACGCAAGTCTATTTTTATTTTATTATTTATTCTTCTCTATTATATAGATAAACCTATTTTTATTCTAATTCTAATAGCCTGCGTGTAAAAAAATGACAGAAAAATTATTCAAAGTATTAAAAATATATCTTGGAAATATTATGAGAATAAATCTGTGTATATATATATATTAAATTAAACATCTCTTTCAGTTTGGCGAATGTTATTTGCCCTTTAAATCTTGAATTCTATTTTTAATCCTACACATGCATATATACATATATTTATATATTTATATATTTATATATTTATATATTTCTTTAGAATACATGCCATACACACATACATGTGGTACATGTATATGGTGGATATATATGATATATGGGGTATATGTGTGTCCTACATATTTTTATCGTTATTTAGTGGGTAATATATAGATCAACTGTACCTCTGCGAAGATCACCAGTAGGGCATATACCCTCGCGGAATGTCTTTGGCATCTTTGGGAATGTCTTTAGCATTATACTGCACTTCGTCACTTGAATTATTTGCCTGATGAGTTATCAGGATATATGCAACCCCCACGCAACAGAACGCGATGCACAGTACACGAAGCGCCGCGCATCTGTAATTAATAATTGAGGCTAATTAAACTCGGTAATCGAATATATGCTCTGCTCTCGCAGTGTGTCGCGTGTGTCCTTTGTGAATCAATATCTCCAACTCGAGTTTACCGTCGCATAGCACCGGTGTATCGCGTTATTAAAACATTGTATAGCGTATCTGCCCAGAACAAACAGCCGCGCGTTATAATTTATTCGTGACTCTCTCGATACGAATAATGCCGTGTAAAATCACGGATGTATCCCACATAGCGGACAAGGAAATTTTAAGGGAGATTTATCAGCCGACGTCTAATTCCCCAGGAATTTTCCTACATTCGACAAGTCGCATGATTTCGAGCGAGATAGAAATTCATGTTTCACCGACATAATTTAACACGATTTAAAACGAGATCGTCTCATCTTTTCCGGTTGAATGAATAACCGTGAAAGTTTTAACCGGCCGCGGCCAATGTACCGGAAAGAATCTTTACGATCCTCGCGGGACCCTATCATCTTATTTATTTTGATTCCGACGTTTAATCGACTGGATCATTTGCAAATACTTATGATTACAATCTGTAAATAAGATGATTATTATAAGCAGCTGTATAAAAAGCTCTTGCACGTCGTTACCCTAGTGTTTTCAGCTTTCTACAGCCTGTTTATTATCTTTATCAGATTCGCAACGTGACCCATATATACATTTATTTATTCGATCATGTTATCTTGACTTTTATAGGTGTTTAATTAACGTCTGTTTTTTTTATTAAATTTTTATTTGCGTACTTGAAACTTTCTTTTTCCAAATGTATATATTATAAACTTACAAACGACGCAAATGTACAATGTAACAAATGTAACGCGCTACATGAAATGCCACGTAAAACGGAGATCATTTTATGCCTTGTACATAAAAATGGAATATTTTTCTACTATATTATTGCATTAAAATAATTTTATTACAAAACGTTTTATATCACATACTGCTTTTAACTAACCGTTTAATTAACTGTGTATAAATAATGTATATATGTATGAATAAATAATAAGATAATATACTCGTATACTTCATATAAATTAAGTAATCAAATTTTAAACCGTGCGATAATATAACAGAAAAAGCTACATAATACACATGTACATTCCTAAGATATAAAATAAATATAAACGATTTCTATGTGCAATACAAATTAGCGCACAATATACAACGCAGATGAGACTATATATATACAAGTACAAGGAACTGGATACGCTAGCATACTGTACAATACATATTTACATCATTGATATTTACAGGAGGGAATTTCATCGCCGTTCATCGTTGTTGTTGGCGTCGATTGTCTTGTTGATCCAGTGTAGATAATGTTGTATCTTGGTGTACACATCCGGGTAGCCCGGTCTAGCGCAACCGGATCCGAACGACGTGACACCGACCAGCTGCCAAACGCCGTCAGTACGACGACACTGTAGAGGTCCTCCGGAGTCACCCTGAGGATCAGGACAAAAGATGAGATTCAGTTATTTAGTTTCTGCGCATTTATTATGCTTTATAAGCTTTGATGTTATAATTAATTCGATATCATAATAGAATCCCACAAATGTTTGTTCTCTGTCTATCATTCATTAATTCTACATTTGGAATTTGAAAATACTTAATTTTGAGTCGATATAGGCAATTCTTGAAAATAAATCTCCGTAATCTCGCGCGCTGCCGATCGCGCGGTCGATTTTATTATGGGAAAGTGCACGAGCGACGTAATTAAACGACAAATCGACACTTTCAGATAATAAAACGTGTTAGCGAGCGGTTCGTTTTACTCTCGGTAGCCGGTACACGCATATAGGTATTAATGCGCTCGCGCGTTTGTATCAATGAATTATATAGGGTGAATCAAATTTTCCGTTTCACCGTTCAATGATAAAACATTCCATCGTACGTTTTAAATAAGAGAGAAACCTGGTAATTTTCTACGTAGCTAGATTTTCAATAAACAAATTAATTTCTTATAGAAAGATGACGATTTACCACGCAGCTTCCGGAGGAACCGTCGATCTGACCGGCGCAGAGGTGGCCCTTCCTGATGGGTACCGAGGTGCCGTAGGCTTGCAGACACTCCTCCAGATTTAGGAGCGGGACACTGGCCTCTAGAAGAGCGGTAGAGAGCGAGGGCGAGGGACCGTATCGACCCCAGCCGGAAGTCACGCATTGTCCTTGGCTGAGATCCTGCCCGGGGCCGGGAAGGCAGATGGTGCGAACGACCTTGGACAGAGGTGCCGGCCTGGCGAGTTTCATCAAGGCTGTAACAGGGAGATCATTATCAGAACTCCAGGAATTTGCGACTCGCGAAATTTCCCCGTCTTTAGAATTAATTCTGGATGAAATAAGATGAAAAACGCGCAGATTTAGTAAAGAACCTTGATCGAATTAGTGAAACTGGGTTTTGTCGAATGTTTTTCCGCGCATTTCGAAGGTATTCAAGGACTCACCTATGTCGTGCACGTAATTATTGAATCTCTCGTGAAGGATCACTTTCTCGACGGGCAAGCGTGCGGATCCGCGTCCTCCCGAGTCCAATTCCCATTCGCCGACCACCGCGGTCCAAAGCGCACCAATGGGTAAATTGAACAATTCGCTGAAGTAAATATCCACTTGAGAATACGAAGCATAAGGTAAATACTTGAAAAAATAAAATATAAACTGAGAATATCGTTTAAATATGAGAGATAAGTATTCATTTAATGATTTGGATTTAGGAGTATGCTGAATTAACTGAAAGTTTAATAAGAGAGAAAAAGAAATTAAGGAAAGCTTACTTTTGAAGAATAGTAAGAGTTAGTTTGAAGTTTTAGAAATTAAAATTGAATTGATTAAAATTCAGAGTACGCTTCCCGCGGAATGGAACAGCGAAGTAACTTTCCGGGAAAATCTATCATTCTGTGGAAATATCCAACTCACTTGTGAATGCAGTGAGCGGCGGTGATCACCCACTTGGGGTCGATCAGCACCCCGCCGCACCAGTGACCGATAAAACCCAGCTTCGGGTGTAGCAACTGAAGGGACACCTGCCAAGGCCACGCGCCCCTTCTGCTGGGCTTGCCGTTGAAAATGCGCCCGGTGGTGGTGGTGGTCGTTGACAACGAGACGCCGTCCTCCAGCTGGACCTCCGGCGAGACGATCGATCGCGGCTGCCGCTGCGACGCTGCTGGACATCCGCACTCTGTTACCGGAAGCCGTTTATATTTGCTTAATGCTTTTACTTTGGAATCCCGAGACACGAACTCCACGTGGCCAAACACGGCACCAGGGATACTCAGCAAAATTTAAGAGCGCGACGGAACTCGAGAATATGCTGATTTTTTAATGTCCAGGATCGATTCGATAAGTAATCGGTGGATAAGCGTTAAAAACGCGAATATTTCTGAAATGTATTTGGTATTTTATCGCGTCATACATACGAATTACCCAAAGTTATGTATACAGGTCTAAAATCCAAGCGTATAACAAACAAAATATAAAGGATGTATTCATTTTCAAATACTAGCAATTCAAAATTCGATGAAACTAAAATTCCAATTATTCCAGAAATTCAGTATACACTAAGTGGCAGAAATGTAAAATTAATCACAAGTTTCAGAAATTAGAAATAAATTACAAATTTCAAAAATTAGAAATTACATATCTTAAAGATTATGATAACGATGCTAATTAGATATCGAAGAAAAGAAAGAAAAAAATCTTATAAAGTTAAAAAATAAAATATAAATTATCAAATAAAAGAACTAACTATATACTCAAAAATAGATATCAACTCAATCTTATTAGTCAAATATTACTGAGAAGTATATCTAAATCTTACAAAAAATTACACTTTGAAAGATATTACCTGTGTTTAATTAATAAAATTTTATTTTATTTTTTAGAGATTTTATTACACTGAAGAAAAGAAAGAAAGATTTCGAGTAAGAAAAATCGCAGTGTCGAGAAATTACTTACTAAAATGATCCTCTCGGATGATTCTTATCATGGCACCCTGGACCTCCGCTAGAATAACCACCAGCAGGACGAGGAAATCACCGCGCAGACGATACATCACCAGCGAAATCAAGAATATCCGCGCTGGATCACCACACCGCGCTGCGGATCGCTATGATCTATGGATCCGCATAGCCTGACTGGCCTCGGCGACGCCAATCGGTCCTCGAGTAGGATTAGCGCGACGCGAAGAGCGGATCCTTCGGTATACGAGGCGATCTCGAAGAAAGTGATCGTTGAATAGCGCGGGAGAGGGGAAAAGCGATGTGGTCTAGCAGATGTTGAAGAAACATGAGGCGCGTTTAACATCATAATTTACAGAATGAAACCTCGACGTAAATTTTTACGAGTTAAGACGACGACGAGGTAAGATTTCGATCTTAGAAACGTCAAACGTCCTGTTTAAAATACGAGAAAGAGTGATCTCACGTTAAAAAAATTAAATTAAACATCTATGGATTTTGTATTTTTGAGAGTTTTAATTGTTGATTTTTTTAGATACTCGGAATCTGGAACTCAATGAGATCTTCGAATCCTCCAAACCGTAATGTCTTTGAGATCTCAAATCGATTTCGAAAAAGCTGCAAGCATGACGATAAAAATAAACGGGAAACAAATGAGATTTTCCTTTCATTACGAGTGGCTCGAATGGAAATCTATCGAAAGAAATCCTTATAATCCGTTCGAGAGTCGCGGTAAAAAAAAATTAACGAAGCGAATCGGTTTAAAAAAAAAAGAAGGTGAGAGACTTTCTCTCACTTCGCCAGAAGACAAAGCTTTCGCAGGATTATTTAAATTCGGAGGACTTTCTTCCTTGGTAAAAGAATTTCGTCGCGTGGAGAGCTGTGCGAATAGTTGGGCATATTGTAATTAGCGATCAGATTGCTCGAGGAAAGAAACCGAGGGAACCGAGGCGCGATTCAAGTCTCTCTCTCTCTCTCTTTCTATCTCATACGTACTGAAACGAAGCGACAACTTTCGAGAGCGAATCACTCTACTCGTACGAGCTGAGAGAAACGCGGTCGATATAATGATATAATCGCTTAAGACGATAATCCACTGTTCTGATTTGCGTTGTTACTCGATGTTGCAGGATACCGCGTTTACAGGGAATCTATAAACATGCAACCGGCGATTTCTAATAATGTTCGAATTATATCCTAAAGATAATTCGATTTTGTACATTGAGCCTAACGAATGGATTAATCGACGTCGTTACATTCATCGTCGTTACATTTAAAATGAAGAAGCTGTCGCATTAAAGTGCTATACATTTAACACATTTCGCGTAATGAATATCTAAGGATATTTCAATAGTAAAAATGATCTGTTCAGCATCGAATATCTGTCAAGTAAGCGATTAATTATTAATTAACTGTTTCAAGTTGATGAATACAAATCAACCGTAGTATGCAGAGATTTTTCGGCATATATTAATTCACACAAAAAATTCTTAATATTGTTCTACTTTGTTACGCAGCATCCCCAGAGAATTTCCTAAAGTAACACACGTTAATAATAGAAATGAACAAGATATATGTTGGCGCGAATGCATCTCCGCCTTGCGCGAAATGACAAGACAGAACGAGAAAGTGAAACCGCATTTGCAATACATATATAAAGAGCTCATAGAAAGAAAGGAAGAGCCGTCCCCGTTGTTTTCGATACACACATTTATCGAACTATACGACGAGTCGGAAGCGCAATAACAAATTTCGCAAAGTGAAATAAATAACGACGTTATTTACGTAATTTAATTTCCTAAAATATCGGGAAGAAAATTAAGAAAAGCTTAAATAAAAAGAAAACTTTGACAAATCTTTTTATACATGATAATAATGGCATAAATTTAAATACTAGACTGTTTCAATGATATATTTAAATTCAAATGAAGAATCTAATCGAATGAACAAAAACCATCGTCAACAATGAAAGTGGAGAGTTTTCAAGATCCGTTTGTTTTATATTAATGAGAAAAGTAAAGAGTTCTTTTAATTTAAATGATGTCAGTCATCGCTGTTTTTTTTTTCAAAGCATTTGCATAGTATTCATGCGCATGCAAGAGTTCTCTATAACTCCAGTGAGCGCTCAATGAGCTCTTTGATATAAAATAGATTCTTGTCTTTGGTTCTTCGCTGGATCTAAGTATAGAAACCAATAATAATAATGATAATCATTAAGCGCTCAATGAGAGTTGTTTCTTTTCGCTGAAAGTCGCCAATAATTTCTATCAGAAGGCGTCATAGTGATGTCTTCCTACTTGAAGTTTCCTCCGGACCGCATCGCATCCTGACGTCTGTTTATCGGATTGTCAAGTTCGCCAAATGTTGCTTCGAAAGTGTTTAACAGATCTGTTTCTATTGTTTGCACTTTTTGCCTTCAGAATCTTCGCTTTCTCCATCCATCCCGCGCTCAAATGTACATTTATCTCGTTAATTTTTATCAATTTCAAGCAATGTAAACAAATCTCATGCATACATACATGCTGTTAAAAAAACATACTACTCTGAAACGATGTTGGCGAACTCGGAACTTGACAGTCATGATGTATATACAAATATCTAGATGCAACGCGTCTGATTGGCGGAAATCAATTTCAAGCGGGAAGACATCAATGGCGCTTTCTATACTTTCGTCCAAATATGGCGGCTCACTTCAAACAGCGACCCAATAGAGGTCTATATGATCTACTCTATTCACATTCACGTGCGCCAAAAATGCTAGCATTTACGAGTTTTAGGTTATCGAGATACCGGAGATCGGTAGTTTTGCCATGTAAAAATTTGTGTAAAAATGGAAATGTTTGTTACGTTAAGTTTAGTAGCGCAAGTAACAAGAGTGCCGGCACGGAGACTGTCACGTTGTCTGACGGGTGAGAACTGCAGAGATTGTCACGTTCGCACATTGTAACCTATAATTTCGAATCAGATGTAACATTAGACATTATGACGGACTTATGTTATTATTAAACCTTGTGGCCTTTGATTTTTGTTGAAAAGACATATTTGCATGTATTCCGAGTTACAAAATATCCACATGTGTTGGAAAAAAAATTACATATAAAGTTTACGGTATGTAAACAGTAAGACAGTGCGGTCATGCAGACATTTTTATCCTTAGTTTGATATTTCAGATGTTTCGTAGCGAGTTTCATTTTTTTTATCGCATTACTTGTCGATAGAAAAATTTATGATTAATTTCACTGATTAATTTTAATTTTTCTTTTGAAAAATCAAAAAATAAATATGTATTGCACGTTTTGAATTATTAATCAATTTCGCATTTTTATAATTAAATTTTAAATCAATATGCGAATCTACCTGAAATTAACTGAAAAATATGGTTTTTAATTCATAGTTTCTGTAAATTTTATGTTTATTTTTAGAAACTCCTTGTTTTCAGTTTTCAATTATGAGAAAGAATTAACTCTATTCAATATATATATATTTCTGATTGACTGATATGTTTTTTATATGTCTAGCAAGCAACTCCACTTCTCTACGGGCAAATATGCACGTTTCGCCGATGGCTGCGCAGTTACGACTCTGGGAGACACTTCTGTCATGGTCACGGCAGTCTGTCAAAACCAGTCGTCTACCTCTTCGTTCCTGCCACTCGTCGTGGACTATAGACAGAAAGCGGCGGCGGCCGGTCGTATACCAACCAACTTTCTACGAAGGGAACTTGGACCGAGCGAGCACGAAATTCTTACGAGCAGAGTCATTGATCGGTCCATAAGGCCATTATTTCCAGAAGGGTTCTACTTTAACACCCAGATAATGTGCAACATGTTAGCTATCGACGGCATGAACGATCCAGATGTGATTGCCATTAATGGCGCCTCCGCGGCTCTCAGCGTTTCCGATATTCCATGGAATGGTCCTGTGGGCGCTGTTAGACTCGGAATGATCGACAATGAAATGATAATCAATCCTACCAGACGTCAAATTCAGGACAGTATATTGAACCTCATTATCACCGCGACTAAGCAAAATCTAATCATCATGTTAGAAGGCTCGGCCAATGAGATATTGGAGCAACATTTAAAGAAGGCGATAAAGCTCGGCGTCAAGGAATGCCAGGGCATTGTAACGGCGATAACGAATCTGCAAAAGACGTGCGGTAAAACGAAAAGAGAGATTGAAACTAAGGAACAACAGCAAGACGATAATCTGAAGGGTACCGTGAAAGAACTCTCGGAGGCAAAATTGCGAGATATATTTTCAAATTATACGTACGATAAGATATCGAGAGATAACGCAGTTAGTGATCTTAGAAATAGCGTTATCGAAACATTGCGAAAGGATAACGCGGATTTGGATGTTAAGTTAGCGGAAAAAAACTTTGGAAAAATTGTCAGAGATGTATTTAGGACGTTGATTTTAGAGAAGGATGTCAGGTATTTTTTTTCATATTGTAAGATATTTTGTTATCGTCGATCTTCGAATAACGATCGAGATATTAGGAATTGATGATTTGCAGGTGTGATGGTCGCTCGATGGATGGTCTACGCGATATATCGTGTCAAGTAGATCTCTTCAATCCTCTTCATGGTTCAGCTGTGTTTCAAAGAGGTCAAACCCAGGTCATGTGCACCGTGACTTTGGACTCTTTGGAGAGTGCGCTGAAAATGGACGCCATTTCGATGCTAATTAGGTATATTAATAGTAAAACAATTAAGCTTGGACATTATTTTTTCTTTTGTACTGGTTTATTTTGTTTTATGATATTGCAACTGCATCACAATGTAGTGCAAGATTTTGTTACAGAGAGATCTCGAACTGAAAATATAGAAAAGGGTTTAAATTAGAATGTAGTTTTACTGAAAGAATTAGCTAAGTAAGATCTAAGTAAGAATAGACAAGCACAAATGTCTACGCAATACAATATTCACTGTAGTTGTTAATAAGACAGTATTTACAATCTACTATTTTCGATTTCTACTTGAATCCTTTTTAGTCAGATATGGATTATTCGTTGAATTTGTCTGATTAAATCTTATTAACGCATAATAAACATTTGAAATTTAACTTTTTTGTGGCAGTGGCGTGAAGGAAAAGAACTTCTTTCTTCATTACGAGTTTCCACCTTACGCAACCAATGAAACAGGACATGTAAGTCGAGTAGGTCGCCGAGAATTGGGACACGGTGCTTTGGCGGAGAAAGCTTTGCGACCGGTTCTTCCAAAGGATTATCCCTTCACTATAAGACTGACTAGCGAAGTCCTAGAATCAAATGGTGAGGCAATGTCAGAGTGACTCCAAACTTAGTTCTATCAAAAACGTTTTTATATGGGCGCGATATGATGTATAAATATAAGTTAAATTTATTTTTTATATTTTATGAAAAGGTTCTTCCTCTATGGCTACCGTCTGCGGTGGAAGTTTGGCACTGCTCGACGCAGGTATACCAATATCTTCGGCAACAGCAGGCGTGGCTATTGGTCTTGTAACTAAATGTAATGAAACCAATATGAATATCGAGGAGTACAAAATATTGACCGATATATTAGTACGTATTTACATAGTCTTACTACACCGTTTAGATAACTATTAACTCGGTTATACGGTTATATATATATATATATATATATATATATATATATATATATATATACATATAATACATTGCTATATATATATAAATAGCATCTACAGCATATAGCATCTACATATCTCTCCGAATTTCAAACACGTGATTTTTGAAGGAGAATGGTTTTAAGAAAAATATATCAGACAAAGGTTGCTCGTCTTCTGACATAAATTATAGAAATAATTGGTTTTATACAGGTTCCCGTTTAAAATTTTAAAGTTACCGCTTCATCCTCCTGAGGCAATGAATGAGGATCAGTTTTGACATAGGTTTGAAGACTTCTGGAATCTATAAAATTCGACATTAGAATAATTAAAATTGATTGCATAATTCTCTGGATGTTAAGCTTTACGTGTGCCATCCTGTATATTAAAAAAATTACGCTCTATGCGCGCATGTAGAACGGGCCTGAAGTCGATCATAGACCTAGTATCGACACCTCTAAATATTTCGGAAAGTATGCTATTATAAAAAAAGAAATGTTTTGCACAAAAGTTATGTGATATAAAGTAATTTATTATTAACTGAACATGTATCGATTTGATCTTGGACGGCATCGTCGAGATCACATAAAGATTATCCGAAATGAGAATCTCTATTTTTCGTTGCATATTCGGATGATTCAGATCAGATTGTTGATCCTTTCAGGATAAGTTTATCCCGAGTTACGAGTTGTTAAAGTTTAATCACTGGAATTGGACGTCGGTATTAAAGTCAGCGCAATTTGACAAAAACTTTTGATTGCAGGGAATCGAGGATTACCTCGGGGACATGGATTTCAAAATAGCAGGTACCAAGCGAGGATTCACCGCGTTGCAGGCTGATGTAAAGATACCAGGTGTCCCGTTGAAAATCATGATGGAGTGTATACATCAGGCGACGAATGCTAAATTGGAAATAATTAAGATAATGAATAACGTGATACGGGCACCGCGACAAACTAGGAAGGACAAGATGCCGGTGGTTGATAACTTGGAGGTTCCTATTCATCAAAGAGGAAAGTTCCTCGGGGTTGGTGGAATGAATCTGAAGAAGATATTTTTGGAGACCGGAGTGCACGTAAGATTTTTATCACGATTTTGTATATGATGACCTGATACTATTAATATCACTTATTATGGTTATTATTATAATTTGAGATTATCAGTTCTTTATTTTTATATCGTTCAGATATATCCGCACGATGAGAACACCTACTCAATATTTGCGCCAAACGAGGATGCCATGGCTGAGGCCAAGGAAATGATAGAGGACATTTTGCGAAAGGATCGTGAGCCAACCTTGGAGTTCGGCGCTATTTATACTGCTAGAATAGTGGAAATTCGAGAAACTGGGGTCATGGTGACGTTATATTCCAATATGGTACCGGCATTATTACCTAACTCACAATTAGACCAACGTAAAATCCATCATCCCAGCGCTTTAGGACTTGAAGTCGGTCAAGAGATACAGGTCAAATATTTCGGACGAGATCCAGTGTCCGGACAGATAAGGATATCACGGAAGGTGTTGCAAACACCAACTTCGATTCCGAAAACTTTACATCGCGATGACGCGGAGAAAACGTGAAATTTATGTTGTAATAGAATTGAGCTTTAAACTAATGCGTTTGTGACACACACACACACACACACCAGCTATCCATGTGTGAGAAAAAACGCTCTGTATATTTTCCGTCATCCTGTTAAAAAGTGATCATTGTTTTTATGTACAGTAGACTCTGGCTGTACGTACTTGTCTTGTATTTTTGTACGATATTGTTATTAAGAATAGAAATATATACAAGCATTGCAATTAAAGCATATTTAATAATGTTTTATCTTTTATCTATGTATCCTGCAGTCATATACATTATCGTCAATACAAATTGCTAGAGAATTTAATGAAGTTTGCAAGATTAGATTACAAAACATGATTCTTAAATTGCCTTTTCAACGGTATAGAACATTCTATAATATACAAGGAAAAATATACGATTAATTTTTCAATTTCCAAAGATGGTTTTCTCTCGAGAACAAAATCTTAAAAGAAAACGTTCTGTTCTACATTACTCAATATTATTTTTGTATCTATAATTATAGTTGTTTTATATTGGTTGTTTATATTGAATGGAAACCCAAATCAAGGTCAAAAGTCATGCAATTAAAAATAGAACAGAATGATTCAGCCTATCATTGCTTGTATCACTGCTTGTGCTATCTTTTCCTAGAAGTAGATAAAGAGAAACTAAAATAAGCAAAATAGGATATCAGGATGATAACTTATCATTAAATTGGCATATACATAGTAACAATTACATAAAAATTAAATTAGAAGTAGAAAAAATTAGTAAAAATAATTTACTTATTTATATAGTTTTAAGTATCCAATTTTTTCTTGAAATAAAAGATTAATTATATTATAAAGTTGAATTTCATCGAAATTGTGTTAAATGTCTTCTGTTTTAATTATCCTTCATTTTTAATTAATTCTAATTCCAAATAATTTTTTTAGAGAGAGAGAGAGAGAAGAGAGAAAGAACAGATTAAATTAAAGTGATTGAAAGTAAAAGTTGAGCATTAGAGTTAAGAACTAATAACGAAACGATATATTTTTTATCTCTTAAAAGCAATATTTTTTTCCATTTATTTAGCATATACGTTCATATAAGTTTCACAAATTGTCATATTAAAATTATCATAGATATGTATATATGTGTAAATATTGTAGATGTAAATTTTTAAAATAGAAATTTTTTCTAGAGAAATTTATTGTTTATTTCAAAATGAGATTACTTTTAATGTTAAGATGATTTTGGTCAATTACATGAATATATGTTCCTTTTTCTCGAAAACGTGATAAATTGGCCGCATTTCGTTATTCACTGCTAGTACTGAAAATCTATATTTTACGTCACTCACACTATATAGATTTTTAGTACTGAATAATATCGGGACGCAGCCATTTATGAATAAATAATTTGACAATCAATATTTCAATCTACATTGCACTTCATGTCCTCGAATATTTTCCATAATTTCTGACCATGCTCCGTACCACTGCACGCTTATTTTATCGCTACGTATTCAAGCGGAGCTCTACGTTCACACTTGGCGTTGTGATTAGCGCGATGTTCTTTGAGAGAGCTTACGATCAGGCTTGCGATTATATACACGAAACTGTGAACAAAGGGGTATGTTGATACATTGATATATGTGTTGATAAAGCTAGTTATTGAAGTTGTCAAAATTAATGAAATTAATTTATTTAATATTTATCACAGAGGCTTTGGAAGCATATAAAGCATCGATATGAAAATTCAATTATGGAAACTCGATATACACGCAGAGATCAAGCAAAACCTTCCATTAATAACGAAGAAAATCATTAAAGATAGGGTAGGCAATATATTTCATATTATTAAACATTAAAATTGGTCAAGTACGCTTATTAATATTATTATATTAACTCTGTTACTGTATTTCAGGTAATTTTATTTTAGCAACAGTAAATATGAAAACTCAAATAATGTGTGTACATCGATGTGTGTCCATATTAGGCCAGAGGCAAAAGCACTCAACTATAATATTTTTCTCTCAGTTTTTACAAATATGTTTCCTTAGTTACATACACTTATCGATTCTTTAAATAATGTTGCAATATATCAGTTAAAAGTATCTTAAATAAAGAACACACTTTAATCGAAGAAACATTTAATAATTATATAAACTATATAATTATTTTAACATTTATTAAAATATAGTTATTATAAATAAAAGTTGAATATAGTTATAATAATATAATTGCATTTAATTATTATAATTAGCGTCTTCTAATATCCTAAAATTTTCCTTTACTTACTACTTGTATGCCATATACATGCACAGAACGAAAATGCACCGTGATTTTCTCTCTCTTTCTCACATTCGCTTTCTCATTCCATGTGTTCATGTGATCATGTGGTAAATGTAAGAGCAGTGTAACGGGATAACGGTGTAAGAGGACTATCTTGTTTTGCAGAGAAAAGAATTGAGTAGAGTAGAAGAAAATGTACAGTAGAGGATTTTAACGTAGAAGAAATTGATTATATTTATTATTTCGAGAAACTTCTTGTCAACTTTGAAGATTCTAATGTTTAAGCTACATCTGTTGAGCGATTGACGTTCGTTAACCGGTAATTCTTTATAATCAAAATAGTTTTATGAGTATATTGTAATATGTAATTTCTCTTTTCTAATTAATTTGATCAAATATAATTCTTTTTGTGATTTTTGTACATTACACATATATTATGTGTTTATATACACATACACAGAAAATATTTCTATTTATTTGATAATTTAATACGTTTGTTAGATATCGCTGCGATGAACTTTGCGTTTAATCTGCCCCGGAACTTCCGGATGATAAAAACATGCATATGAGATAGGAGACGCTGGTTTTTAATAATTACGTGACGGTATAAATATAGGCTGCTGTTACGAAAGCGCACAGTCTTTACGAAAAGAGCATCTGACTGAGTGAGGCGCTATAATAGCCTGCATACGAAATAGAAAATTATTATACTTCAAAACAATTAACGTTATTACAATGGTATGTTATATTTCCGTTATTTTATAATAATTTACATACATATAAACTTTGTATATTTTATATGGAAATAGTTAAGCGATACATTTTATATTTTGCTATGACATTAATTGTGTATGTCGTGTAGTTTTTATTACGATAATTGAATTAATAAAATATGAAATTAATAAAGAGATCAATATATAATTATCATGCTTTTTCTAACACAATAATTATAGTCTCGTTAACATCATATACTAAAATATATGATGTTAATGTATATAAATAATCATTGTTAACTTATAATGATAAATATCTTCAGTGATTTTAATAATTCTTTAAATCTTTTAAATACATACACATTCTTTGTCTGTTTTCCTATGCTAAAAATGAACATACCCATTATAGCAATCTCAGGATTTTCAACATTAATTTTATAATTACTTGCTTAAGAAATGTGTGTATGGCAGTACTTTTTATTTCTACTTAACTGTTTATTTCGTATTGATGTTATTATAAGATGACGTTTTTTTCTAGTGTATTTATGTTTTTGACACTATTGAACGATTCATCTATCTGTCGTACGATTTATTTTAATATATATGTATATAATTTTGATAATTTTAAATAACATTGTTGATTGTAAAATAGATATAATAACCAAAGATTCCTTATATTACATTTTTTCCCTTAATGTTGAAAAAAAATGCAAGAATAGGATAAAAAAATGAGAAGTAAAGATTTCTCGTAAGTCTAGATTAAATTTTTTATTTTAAATAATTAGTAAAGTTAATCTTTATAAGCAAAAACAATCAAATTGTCATTTCTTATTTAATTTTAAATAAATTTGCAAGAATGGAATTTTAATATAACACATAATTTCCAAGATATTTAACGTAAAAAATGGAGATATTGTATAAAAGAATAGTTCGAACAGTCTATTTTTTCACGAAAAAAAAGTTGAACTGACAAAAGTTTCTAACTGATAAAGCTTTGTATAGTAGTTTTCTAAAATATACGATAAAATATAGTTTTTTAAACTACTGTGCTGTACATTAAATTCATGTAATGTCACGTTATTTTTTTAATATTCTTACAGATGAAAGCGAATATACTGATTGTATTAACGCTGTCCTTTGCTGGATACAGTTTACAGCAGCCAAGTATGAAGACCGTATCAATACGTTCTAGAGAATATGAAACTATACACGACATAAAAATTACCGATAATGAAATCCACAAAATACAAAATTGTGGAAATACAGAATTTGTCAATTTAAGCGAAATGTATCTACGAAATATTCAAAATAATGTTATTCAAAGTGACGCAATCCGTCACGTATCTTTACACCATAATTTTTTCAAAAAAATTCCTCAAAACATCTTGAATTACGTGACATATTTATCTTGTTTTAATCTGTCACGTAACAGTATTAATCTCTACAAGAATAATCAAATTCAGCATCCGTATCTTCAAATATTGGACTTAAGTTATCAGACGACATCAGACGTAAATGCAATACCACAAACGGAAACCTTCGATGAAGAAACGGAAGATATGTATAAATATATGACATTCGATAGCACGAACATAAAATTACCAAATTTACAATATCTCGATTTAAGTGGAAACGACATTTCCACTTTGTTATGGGGTTTTAATAAGTCTTTTCCAAAATTAGTACGTTTAGATTTAGTAAATATCAATGCGCAAGAATTAGACCCGCACTTTTTTTACAAAATCCCATCATCTTTGCGCGTTCTTCATTTGGAGAACAATCATCTCCGCAATTTGATGCTACAGAACGTAGCAGAAATTTCAACTTTATATTTGAATGGAAATCCTTTAGAAAAACTTAATATAAATTCTACGACATTAAGAACTTTATCATTATCTAATTGCACGAAACTAAGTGCGGCATTTTTCGATACGCCATATTTAGAAATACTTGATTTATCAAGAAATAATTTGAATAATGACATTGGCGTTCATTACGAAATGTTTCGTGCATTACGCGTACTTTTATTAGATTATAATAAATTTTCATATATTCCTACTCTAAATAATGTTCAGTGGGTCAAGGAATTGTCGTTATGTTATAATATGATCAAACACATTAGTCCAAACAGCTTTAAATATTTAACATCCTTGAATAAGTTGTCGTTAAAAGGAAATAGAATAGATAATCTTGAAAGAGAAACCTTTTCAGGTCTGGATAAATTGGAGTATTTAGATTTATCGGAAAACCAATTAAATCATTTGCCTACTGACTGGGCGTCACCGTTAAAAAATCTCAAATATTTAAATGTAAATTCGAATCAGTTTGCAAGTATTTCCGAAATGGGAATATATTCAATAATTTCATTAAATCATTTATTTGTAAAAAATAATACTTTTACTAAGATAACAACCTTAGAAATTGAACCGTTACCCGATTTTATTACCATATTCTTAGTTTAATATGATTCAGTTTTAACGCTATACTGATTACTATTTTGCGACTTCATTATTTTAATTATTAAGCGTTTGTTTAACGTGCATTTAGTATTCCACATTTCCACATATATGTATAACATCTCTCTAATTTTTATAAGTCTATCATGTAAGGCGTAAAAATAATTTATTACGCCATAATTCTTAGTTATAACTCCGACATATTTTTTTTCAAATACATTGTATTCAAACTTATTTTAATTATTGTTATATCATTTTTGTAAATCAAAAATAAAAACTATTTAGTATATTTAACTGATCCGTTCATTTGAAATAATAATTTATACCAACGACGTAATAGGATATGTAGTAAGAAAACCTCTGCTGTCAGTTGATACTCAGCGCGCTACAGCTTCGCTATCTGCTGAGTATGCTGCTGAATTCCCACTAAAAAAAGAACGGATTTAGCTTTAATAGAAGTCATTCTGGCTGCTAAAAAAAACGCTACGAACACTCATGATATAATCTTTTATTAGTTAAAAACTAAAACTACTTAATTAAAATTACATATCTTGATAGAAATTTTCAGACCTCATATACAAAAGACAAAATGAATTAATTATAAAATACATCCAACTCTTTAAATATATTATGCCTTACCTTATTAGATGTTAAAAGCCACTTATCGGATCTGCAATTCTGAGAACTTTTCTCACCAAACTTTAGATGGTTCAGATTATATATGCTATTGGACGTTGATGATGCATGGTATGATAAGTGTGTAAGACTAGCCGTAAGAATGCATGGAGTTCATGAGAAATTATCCCTGTGACACAAGATACGTTTTAATCGCGCGTGCTCAGTAAAGTACGACGATATAATCTTTGATCGCGGATAAAAAAGTAGACATTATATTAATTTTATCATCTTCGATATTTTTCTATTGTAATACATAAAATGAAATAAAATAAGATAAAATAATATCTAGACATAAAAAGTATAAAGAGGTACAGAATCTGAAAAATAAAAAAATGAGAACAGAGAATATAATTGTTTAAAAAAAGACAATACATGTTCTAAAAAAACATTTATATATATGTATATTTGTATGTGTATTAGAATCAATTACAAAGTAAAGGCTTTAAATTTTCGAACTATCCTGTATATTGTTTTATTCTTAATTATTAAAATATACATATATACATATATGATATTAGAGATATTTAATATTCTTCATGAAAAATTAATTAATTAATAAAGAACGAATAAACTAAAAATATGAGAAACCAATTTCTAATACAGTATTTTTAGTATAAAATAGTATCTCAATCTCAATTAAGGAAAAGGCTTAGGATTGTTTTAATTAAGTGAACTTAATACAATATAAATGCGTTAATTTCAACTGGAGGGTATGATGCGTCATATAGACGGCACTGCGTGAAGACAGACCCCCCTGAGGACCATCCTCGGTATATAAGAAGATAAGTTTGCCTGCTTGCGACAAAAGGTGTTAGACTGCTTGAGTGAATTAATCCGTGAGTGCAGAGAAGTATTTAAGAAGAGTTTAACAACTTTAAGAAATAAACCGTACAACCAACATCAATGGTAAGTATTCCGCAAATTACTAGAATTTATCCCAAAATTATCATTATGTTACTCTTTCATATAACTAAAGTCTAGAACATACTTAAGAACATACAAATATTTTTTTTGTAATACATCTATAATAGGTTTATGTTTATATAATATTGACTATTTAATATATAATCCGTATCTAAATATATATTTAAATAATTTATTGTAAAATAATTATCTTGACTATAACATATATATTTAAATAATTGTTTTTTAAAGTATTACCTTATAATATTTGAATTAAAAATCGTACATAAAATTTATTAAATATTATTTCACTTATTTTGGAAGAATGACATGTAGAAACCTTCTCGTAAAAAATTAAAATATTTAAAAAACAATAAAATTTCGTGTTATTACTCGTACAATTATTTTAATATATATAATTCTATGTGTTCATATTGTATTGGCTGCATTCGGGGAGCGCGCTATTAGCGCTATTTGCTTATTCTATCCTTGTTTTACATTTAATAAGCGATAAAGATAGAATGATACAATAGCGCTAATAGCACGCTCTCCGAATGCAGCCATTATAAGCGATGAATAGATGTGAATAGGTAATTTATATTATCAAAATAGAAAAATGTTATTTATTCTAACAGATTTAATTTGTATATTAATTTAATTTAATTAGTTATAGAGGTTTTTTTTAAATAAATATTATAAACCTGTAATGGGGTTTTGAACCGCATTTTTACGAAATATTATACACATGAATATATAAATTTAATATATACATATACATTGCACGCATATTCAAATTTATTAATTATTATTATTTATTTTATGTCAGTATAATAATAAGCCATTCCATTTCTTAATATTAATTTAACTGATTACCAATTTTTATGTATTATGTTCTTAAGAAATTTTAATTTATTTTAAAAATTTATTACAGTCTTATTATTACGTTAACTTATTATTATTTTATCGACTTAATTTATATATTTGTTGTTTTTATTTTATACTAGTTTATTATTAATAAATTAATTTTATTAGTAGTTTATAAACACATGTTAGTTTGTGTTTTTTAATCTTATTGTTAAATATATTAATATGCCTGTTTATTTTTTCCTTTTTTAGATGGTGCTAGGCTACAAATTTACGATTTTTCTCGTTTTCACCACTGTATACGTAGCAAAAACTCAGGACAACCACGGAATTTCCCTTTACGATTTCAAGACGCATACATTATTTCCAAAAGACGACGAAGGGAATACACGTCTACCATACACCTACACTTCAACTGTCCCACCAATATTTCGTGGGCCCGTGTGCCCCCGTCACAGTCATATCTTCAGTTTCTCTAACGTCGGTCTTCAAAAAATCGGTCGAGACTTTATCAACAGCAATGACATCATCAATCTAAGACTCGATGACAATAACATAAGTGATATTTCGCCATTCGCTTTCCGCAATATGCGAAACCTGCAGTATCTGGACCTTTCCGGAAATAAAATTCCGAAAGAAAAGCTATTGTCGTTGACCGGAAACGAAAAATTAGAGGTGTTAATTATCGATAACAACCGAGATTCTCATAACCCCGTGACAAATACCCTGATTGAATATGAAGTTTTTTCAAATTTGAAATATCTGCACCTGTGCAATAGTCAATTAGGGAACTTCCAAGTGCCTTTTCAGCTCGCTACACCCATCTTGACTCACTTATATCTGAACAATAACAGCATCAGTTCCAGTGATGTCGTCTTCGAAAATATTCCGGCAACATTAACTCATCTTCACCTAAAGAAAAATTTGATCGATCGAGTCAAACAAGGAAAACTCAGGTACAAATGTTTATGGATTGTTTTTTATAGAATATAAAAAACAGAATTTTAAATGGGCAGTAATTGACATTGCTATATTTCTTTTATTGTCATTATTGGTTATGTTAATATTGTTTTATTTTTGTTTTTAATGATATCGATATTTTTTGTTATCATTGTTATTAATATTGATATTATTTTTATTATTGTCACACTACCATTTTAGTTATTAATTTTATATTGTTTTGTCATTTTTATTGCTGTTATTATTGCCTTATTGTCATTGTTATCATTGTTCTTAATATCACTGTTACTGTTATGGTTGACGCTATTTATTTCTTCATTTTGATTTTATCTATTAATTTTAGGAACTTACGGGAACTCATTATGGACGATAACGCCATTACCCAAGTATGCTTTGAGGACTGCGAAGACAAATCCATATCCTTGAAAGACGCTGTATTATTACAGAATCTGTCTTTAGCCAACAATCTGATCTCAGAAATATCGCCCGATGCCTTCAGTGACACGAGACATCTGTCAATATTAGATCTCTCGGGCAACAAGATCACCGATGTGCCCAAGAACACTTTTAATAATACTATTAGCATAACTGCTCTTTCTTTGGCTAACAATACACTTGCTACCGTACCGGATGTTTGCCCGATGTTTCGCCTAAGGACTCTGGATCTGTCTGAAAATCGCATCAGTGCAATTCTCTCAGGCACTTTCTGTCCTTACTTGAGTAGTTTGGAGTATTTATATTTATCAAACAATGCTATAACCACCATTCAGTTCCGAGCTTTCCATAATCTTCAGAAATTGAAATATCTGGACCTTTCCGGAAATCGACTTAGGGAGCTTCCGATGAACTGGGGATACACGTTGTTCATTCAAGAGCTGCATCTTGAACGAAATAACTTCACCGAACTGGACAACATATCATTAATTAACCTTAAAGAGCTGACAAATGTTTACCTTGATGAGAACCCTATGCCAATATTGAGAGCAGAATCTTTCCGATCGCTTCCAGGACACTTAAGAGTACATTTGAAGAATATGCGTGTTGAGGATAAATGCGCACAGTGTCAATGCGATAATGACGAAGAAGAGGGTGATAATGAGGATGATAACCACAATAACTATAATGATGATAATTCTATATAATTCTAATAATATTTTTTGGTAATAATTCAAGAAATATTTACCGTTAGAATTATGATAAGATTTCTTAATGATTGGAAATACATTTTCTTAGCATTTAACAGTTTTATTTTTAAAAAATGTTGCAAATAAGTTTTGTGGAAATATGAGAAATCCGAAATAAGGCAAAAATTAAGTATTTCGGTGTACATTAAATTAAAACGTATTGGTGAAAAAAAGAAAAGTAATTTATAATAAAATCTTTTTATCACTTATAAGAGAAATATATTAATAGTACCTTATAGTACTTATTTTCAGAGATCCTCTCTATTTGTATTAAAAATACTATTTTTAGAAAGTTTTAAAAATGTTTCACATAAAACATGGTAAATAATGAAACAAGTACATCAGTTTTAATTTAGCTAATGCATATTTTTCGAATTATCTTTTATTGTGTAACTCATTTAGCGGATATATGAAACAATTTTGTTTTTTCACCATACAAATAAATAATTAGATTTTTTTACGATAAATATTTAGTTTTACAAATTAAGATCAAATAATAATCATTGTCGCTTTATAGTGTTTATATGCTTAAAATAAAGTACTTAAAACAAAGTACATTATTTGATTTCATTATATTACGATTGTATTTTGCTAATGCTTTATTATAAACTTGGTCATTTAATGTTTGCATCATTATGTATTGCTATAAGATAACATAATTATATAATATGCATGCGTAATTGCATATATTTTGCTTATATCTTTTAAAATAAATGCGTTTTATAATAACTCGTATGAGCAAATGAAGTCATGTCCACATAAATATTCTTATGTATCCTACATTATTATTAATACATAGACTTATTTAGGTGTCCTTTATTAAATTTTTCTTTTTTATTCAACTTTGTAATTGCATTTATTAAACATTTAACTTATGCAAAGTTCTTTATATTTCAAAGAAATAATTAAAAACATATTATTCTAAAGTTAAGATTTTATTTGTAAAATAATTTAACACAGCATATTCTTTACCTATTTTAAAAATGTTTTAAATCGTTTGAAGTTTTTTTATTTCAACTATTTCAAAACTCGAGTGTAACGATAGTGAAATAAATGCAAACGCAGAAACGAGCACAGTGAATAAGCTCGTGCATATCAAATTCTAGAGATCGCTACGATTTCCACGAAGGCGGTAAATCTTCTATTTTCACTTTTTTTCTTCCATTTCACATTACAAAGTCGTGCTAGAGGATTAAACGCATTTTACGCATTTTACGTCGTGTAAAAGTTAGCCAAATACATCGTTCTTTCGTTGCATTTAAATTATATTTTTAGATTATATTAATATAATATAATAATATTCGTATATGGTAAATATTAAAAACCAGAATATTGAATGTAACCAAAAGTGCGATCATCATCAATTATGACAAAATCATTCATTATTAATCTGAAAGTAATTACAAATTCCGCAAATGTAATTTTGATTGCATACATTATTAAATCGATCAAAAAGATAGCTTTTTATGAGATTCGCATTTATTAAATAAAAAATATAGAATTAATTGTATTGATTTTGCCGATTGATATTCAATTTATTTTCACACAATGTAATATTTCGCTAATAATATTACACAATTTAATTAAATTTTTTATAATTTTAAAAGAATTACTTTTCAATAGAAGCTGGCAATGATAATGGTAATGATACACTACACAAATTAAAAACGTTTTTATTATAAAATATCAATTAAAAATTTGCAATAAAGGTATTTATATAATAAAAACAATAATCTTTCATTTTATGATCATTAAGTAAAAATTACGAACATAAAATGTACAGTTAATAATAAATTTCAATAACATACGATTAATGACCATTTCATTAATTAGTTGCTAAAATAATTGCAAAAATAACCAATTACTCTCCATGTCCGTATAAATTCGCTATTATACTTGATCTGGAATTAACCGTGCTAGCTAGATGCAGAATACCGAGGTGAGCTTCTAGCTTCTACCCCTTTCAGGGTGTTGTTTGCGCACCCTGCGAGTGGCGCACATGCGCAATCGTGTAGCGAGAGAGCCGAGGTAGAGTATGAGAAGAGGGCGCGGTGCAACGAGAACGGGAAGAGGATGGACACCCGAATGTGACGAGGATCGAGTTCAAAGCGATATAGCGCATATAGGAACTTCGCAGGAGGGATTATTTCAGAAAACATATCAAAATTTTAATTCTAATTTCTTGATTTTAACGTAGACCCTCACAATGTTTTATACTAAAATTTACGCGACTGGTTTAAAAAAGGGTTACGTTATCTTTACAAATATTAATAGTATAAGTTTTTAATAATCGATATTATTGCAAAAATTCGATTTTAGATATGTTAAATTGTTTTTCCGCATACGTTCCTGACTTAAAGGATGGGGATGAAGGAGAGTGAATGCAAGCCGTATAACGAGGGGAGAGAACATGGGGAGGATGAGTAAATGCATGGGTAGTTCGAGAGAGGAATGGAAAGGATCTAAGAACGACGAAGATAACGACTTTAGAAGGGCTAAGGCAATTTGAATGGATTCATTTAGAACAATAGTAATTAAAATTAAATTATTTATGAGACTCATCCCATACTGAAGGTGATATCAGGAAACCCATTTAAATTAAACTTATACATAAGGAAAAGATGGATGTGGATTAAAACAATTATTTTCAGAAAAAGCTGCAAAGAATCTGGAATCACTAATCAAGAATACGTACTTTTAAAATTAATTAAAATAAATTAAAGAGGTACAGATTTCTTAGTTACACAAATTCAAAGTTAAAAGATACATCCTTGATAATTACTTAAATAATTTTTATTGAAAAAAATGTATATTTGTTACTGGAATCTTTCACTCACTCTCTTTCTTTCTCTCTCCCCTTCTCCCTCCACACACATTTTTTATAAATTCCTACAAATTGTTAAAAATAAATATGTATTTTCTCAACATAAAATTGTTTATATATTATGTCAGTATGAATATATAGAGAATGTGAAGAAGACAGACAGAAGTTTAAATACATATATTACATATATTGCATTTTTTAAATAAAAAATATATTTTTTATTTTTCAAATATATATATAGAAGTTCGAAGTATCTACATACAGAAAATTCCCATATATATTCAAAAAATAGAAAAAATATCTATCCTTCTACAATATCCCCTTACTTTCTTTTTTTTTATCCATCGCGTCTTCTATATTCCATATTTATGCCACTGCCCTTGTCGAACCCTAACACTCTACTTTTATCTTATTTTTCCTCCTTTCCTTTCTCCTTCCCTACCCGCTCTTTCACCCCTTTCTCTGTATATATATAACATTCTGTATGCACACGAGAAAAACTAATTTTGGTCTATCTTTTCTATTTTCCAGATGCAGACTTTACAAAAGAGAAAAGATACGCATACATGACACGATCTGTCTACATTTGTAAAATACAAAATCAAATCTTTGTATTACATCGTGAGAGTTGTATGGGAGATCTGCCGCCACGCAATAGCCACCCCTGATATAGAATAAGAGAAAGAGAGATAAGAAAAGGGGTGAAAGAAAGAAGGGGGGGGTGAGAGAAAAAAAGGGAGAAGGAAAAGAAGGTATAGATAGAGCGTTGGAGTTCGACGAGGACAATGGTATAAATACGGGGTGTAGAAAAAGCGAGGGATGGAAAAAGATGGAGTGGGTTGCTAGAAGAAGACAGATATATCCTCGTTACTCCGCGTACGAATGAATACAAGATACTATACTACGCCGCGTGAAGCGTGACTGGGGAGATGCGCGTAGATACGCGAAAAGCGGCGGCATTTCTTCGCGAACGATGAGAATGGAGATACCGCCTGACGGAGTTCGGAGTAGCATTGTCGGCGGGGTAAAGTCCGACAAAGAGGGTAAAACGCTCGCGCGACGAAGCCAGGCGAGGATGGAAGTATGTGACGAGGGCGGCGGTAACGGCTAGTGGAGCAGACGAGGACGAGAGTAACGTCGGCTCGGTGGGGTGGAGAAAGAGAGAAAGAGAAAGAGAGGGGGGTCGTCACGCTGTAAAGTTGACAAGAAGAGAGACACCGCCGATGCTGTAAAGCGGATAAAGACGGAAGTACTACCGCGACAAGGTTGGCGATACCGTCGCCACGATAGAGGAGACCGAGATAGGAGTATCGCCGGCGCACTGCAGCCGGACGAGGAGAGCGAGAGCGAAAGCGAGAGAGAGAGAGAGAGAGAGAGAGGGGAGAAGGCTAAAGGGCGAGGAGAAGGGTAGCGGTAGAGGATGGGGTTGGCCTACGTCTGGCTAACCCGAGACACCACTCCCCACTCGGTCTGGCCGGCTCTCTCCTCTAGCCTCCTCTCTTTCTCTCTCGCCTCTCTCAGTGTTCGTTCGAACGCGGCCCGGCACGGTTCTGTTACCCCGTGATGTCAGAGGGTCCGCTTCGTGATGGGAGCTCACTGCCGCGGTAATATCGGTGGGTTCCATCGGTAGCCGATTCCCAACGCCGATAATACCTATTATCAGTGTTGTCCGGTGCGGTTCTGGCTTGTCCCTACGACGGTGTGAGCGGGGGCGCGTAAAGGGAGAAGGGTGTTTAGCAGGGCGGGAGTGCGTGAGTGCAGAAAACGGACAGGGCAGTGAAATACGGACAGAAATACTCCAAGGTCAATTTTGCGACGGGGAAAACGATGTCGAAGACTTTGATTAGAAAACGAAATTAGTTGGCGAGGAAGCTGATGGGAAAAATTAGCTCGCGGCCAGTACGAAATTGGAGCTTGATGGTATAAGCCGCCAGTTGTAAGCGGGGAAGTTCCGAAACGTCATCGCCCTTCCTCCAGCGAAAACAAACACGCCTGTATCGCACGCGGAAGATCCGATTCGTTTACGTTTTTCGCGTTTATATAGGAGTGAATATCGGTTTGCTAATTAGTGTTATAGAGAGCAAAATTGGCGTATTAATTGAGAGAAAATAGTCTATATAAATCTTTCCTTCTCCGATCGTTTTTCTGGAAAGAAAAAAATATATATATATCTGTTTCGCTTCTTGTCTCTTTCCTCGAAGAGGGAGTGAATTTTTCGAATTTTTTTATCTCTCGGAAACAATTTGCGAGTCAAGATAACGAACGCCGCGGGAAGATCGCTCGTCAGTCTGAATGAAGAACGGGATTTTTCCGAGCGGAGTTTTATTCCCCGAAGAGACGGGGCAAATAAGTCGCTGAGAGACCGCGCCAAGTTTCCGCGATTCTCGACACACTCTCGACAATATGTCTGGGAACTACTCGGTGCGCTGCGAGCCGGGCCTAGTGATACCGCTCTGGCGTCCGGACACCAACCTGCATCTAATCGACATCATCTTCCGAGGCCTGGTGTACTTTATTCTGATGTTATATCTGTTTATCGGCGTGTCGATCATCAGCGACCGCTTTATGGCTGCCATCGAGGTGATCACGTCCAAGGAGAAGGAATTGGTGGTGCGCCGTCACGGGAGGGAGCCGCAGATCGTCGTGGTGCGAGTGTGGAACGAGACGGTGGCCAATCTGACCTTAATGGCGCTCGGCAGCAGTGCTCCTGAGATCCTGCTGTCCATCATCGAGATTTGGGCGAAGAACTTTCAAGCGGGAGAGCTGGGCCCGGGCACGATCGTCGGCTCCGCCGCTTACAATCTCTTTGTTATCATTTCCTTGTGCGTGTTTGTAATCCCGAACGGTGAGACCCGGAAGATAAAACATCTGCGCGTTTTCTTCGTCACCGCTACCTGGAGCATCTTCGCCTACGTATGGCTCTACGTTATTCTGGCGGTGTCCAGTCCTGGTGTCCTCGAGATCTGGGAGGGTATTCTGACCTTCTCCTTCTTCCCAGCCACGGTATTGACGGCTTACGTTGCTGATCGACGGCTATTAATCTACAAGTATCTGCACAAAGGTTACCGGATGAATAAGCGGGGTGTAATCGTGCAGGCGGAGGCCGCGGATTCCGAGATGGGGGTGGAGCTGGAGATCAAGCCTCAGCAAGACGGTCTTCACGGCATGGTCGATCGCCTAGCCGACGTCGATTCCCCCGAAGCGAGAGAGTTCGAGCAAACTCGTAGAGATTACATTAACACTCTGAAGGAATTGCGTAAAAAGTACCCGACTTTGCCTCTGGAGCAATTGGAGGTCATGGCTCACGAGGAAGTGCTCGGCAAGGGCCCTAAGAGCAGGGCCTTTTATAGGGTGCAGGCTACGAGGAAGATGGTAGGCGCGGGCAATCTCAGCAGGAAGATCAGCGAGAGAGCGCAGAGCGACCTTAGCGAGGTCAAGGCCGAGTTGCAGAAAGCCGAAGCGGAGAGCATCGATATCGAACATGTCAACGCCATGAGAGTATTTTTCGAACCTGGTCATTACACCGTGATGGAGAACGTTGGAACCTTTGAGGTGGGCGTTTCCAGGGCTGGAGGTGATCTCAACAGACCCTGCACCGTGGATTACTACACGGAAGATGGCTCCGCCGAGGCCGGATCTGATTATGTGAGTGCCAAGGGCACTCTGACTTTTGAGCCCGGCGAGACCATGAAGACTATCCAGCTTTCCGTTATCGATGACGAATTGTTCGAGGAGGATGAACATTTTTATGTCAGGTTAGTAAATTGACGATCATTTTTTGCGAAAACTTGTGATGATGGAATATAATTGTTACAGGAAAGTACCATAGTAATTTTTGCGATAAGATATGAGAGTGGTTATCGAAAGTATTTTAAACGCTGCAAAGGGAAATGATAAAATTGAATGTCATTGCAGCTAGTTGTTCTCGTACTATTAATATACGTAATATGATGAGTTGTGTAAACATAAAAATAAAAAAAGTTTAATATTATTATTAATTTAATGTATTACTTATAATTAGCAAAAATTAAATTATGTTAAATAAAATTTCAGTTTTAAAATTTATAATATAACTTTAATGGCAGACACATCTCAAAAATTAATTTTTTATTCTATTAATAATACTCATAATTTTAAAATTAAAATATATCGCGTTCTGAGATTTTTTACATTGTTGTTTTTATTGTTAAATCGCGTTAAATAATTGTTGAAGTTATCGGAATTATGTCGGGATATTCGATATCAACCGTTTTTGATAAACAAGGTGATATTTCCTTTGTTAAATTATTTTTTATTTTTTATTGATATCACTTTTATTCATATTACTCTTATTAATATTACTTTTATTAAAGTTTCATTGTTTTATATCACATCTCTGCGGAGTTTTGGAAGTTATTAAATATTTGAATAGCTATATCTCACTTGAATCACTTTTAATACACACACACACATACACACACTTTCGATTTTCTAACGAACATTGAAAAGCCCACTTAAAATTAAACAAAGGATGAGCTTTATTTAATTTGACGTATTTACATATCTGGTTTCTCTAAAAATTTGGTTTATAAATCCTATATTTTCAATTATTTCCTCATCCTCTTTCTCATAATTCGTGAAGTACGTATGTGTGTGTATATTTTTTTATTGGATTTAACTTTATCTAAAGAGTCTGTCATCAACGCGATGAGACATCCAGTAAAATTATCGTGCTACTTAAGAGCTGCAATTACTTCAATTTTCTTTTAAATGATTCTTTAAATGATTCTTAAAGTATATATCTATGGTGGATATAGTGTATTACGATCACAGATCATTGACCAGCGGTGAAAAGGCGATCATCCAATTGATTTCAAACGAGTAACATTTGCAATTTAATCAGCAGATAAGCTGCTATTGATTGAATCTTAATGAAAGACATTTAAAAGTGGCTATTAGCGTGGCTCTTTTCAATGTAATTAAAGTTGTTAATGGCATTTTATACAGTACACAAATCTGGAAGATATCATAAAGATACATTCAAAAATCTAAAAATTAAAAAAAAATAATTAATTTATTTAATTATTTAATTCATATGCTTAATATTATTATGGCTTTTTGAAATTAACAAACACAATTTTGTGTATTTTATACATATAAAATATATGTATAATAATATGCACAACAATTAATATTAAACAATGAATTGATAAATAATATTATACATTATATATACACACATACATTTTATAAATTCATTTTACAGATAGTTTAATTTTGACATCGACATATTTTACATATTTGTTTCTTTTTATACTATGTTTTTATTCTGTTTTTAATAAATTTTTTTATTGCTGCAATTGAATAACGATAACATTATGAGAAAACAATTGTACTCTAGGACTATGTACTATATTTTTTTTATATACAGACTACTGAATCTCTTAGCCAGATATTTTTATGTATAACTAATAATAAAAATGTTTTTGACAAATTTTTTTTCAGAAAAATGTGGAAATTGTATTAAATTACTGACCTATGCCTAATAAAATATTATATATTCGGTTTTTAGAAAATTCAGGAACTAAATCTTTTGTACTGTATAATTCGTAAATATTTAATGTGTGCAAACGTCATTTTAAACATCCTTTACTATCCTTTTACCTAGCATTGTCAACCTCGTAAATTCCTAAGAATGCTAAGAAAAAGGCTTGAAATTTTCATCATGTCACGTGGGTAGTCCTCAGATTAAAGCAGCGTGCTTATATATATAGGCACATGAAAGAAATCGCGGTAGAACGGTTTTGTGCCACAGAGATGCATTTTAGATGATACATGAATTAGTATCGCGCGCTATATGTTGATTTTAAATCTGTTTCTTGCAGTTTCTCCATATTTCATTTCTTTTCTCTTCTTTCTTCTTTGATTGGTCTTTTCGCGTTTCTCTTTCCTTGAAAGCTTGGGAATACATATATCTTTTTTAAAATGTAATAAGGTAACTAGAACGAATAGATCCTTTTATTTCACGCTACGATTGAAAATTACAGGTTCGTGTCGATATAGCCAGATGACCCGATTATTTCTGTTATTTGCAACTTTACGTCGCATGCCAGATTGCATCACGGGGTCGCGCGGAAACCACACGTGCACGCGCAATTAAATCTATAAGTAAAACGTGTGCTGATAAACGTACTTGATAATTCGGCTAAGGAAAATCGGAGAAAATATACGGAGAAGTTAAATCGCATTGTACATTTCTGCGTCAATTACGGTAATAAAGAGTTGCACTGATTATTATCAGCAATATAGGTCGAGGAGAGAATTATTGTGACCTATATAGTAATCTTTGTCATAATTCTGAAAGAAATCTAAAGACTAGATATTTAGTTGTCACTAATAGCTTATTGTCTCGCATGTACTCGAACTGTCGTAATGATGAAAAGTAACAGAGCGATATCGTCTGTCATTTCATTTTATTATGTTGTACGAGACATTATAACATTATTTTAAAAATGTTTTATTTCTCTATATTTATTTAGATACAAAGAAAATATATATAAAAACATAATACAAATTAAATACAAGTTAATCAATAGCACAGATCTAAGATCAAGTAAATATAACATAATATACATAGTAAAAATAAAATAATTATTAATAACAAAATTATACTTGTTATATTATGCATATAATTGGGAGAATATAAGGCTTTAAATAATAGTAAGAAATAAGTAAGAGAAAATATATCTCAGGAACGACATCAAAGGAGATCAACGGATAAAAATAAAATCTTGGATGTATGCTCCTTTGAAAGGCGAGTTCAACGTCGAAATTATAGACCAGCTTATCTGCGAACTTGATTAAAGTATTCTACTGAATGGTATTTTTAGATAGAAAATAAAGGATTTGTCGATCAGCAAATTAGGAGTTATGTAGTCAAATGTCGATTTGAAAGAACGAAAGAACATTCGTGAAAGCTATTTATACTAGTCATTACAAAAATAATTAATAAATAATGCTTATATAAATTGACATATGTTTGTTCTAAAAATATATGATAATTTATAGCGATAATTTATTTTTATTGTGCCACTGTCCTGAATTCACAGAAGTGATTTCTGTTGTTGAAATGTCAGTTTAATTTTTCTCGAATTAATGTGGATATCTCTTTTATTTTTAGGCTCAGTAATGTGTCGCAGCCAGCAATGCTTGTCTCGCCGAGCCTGGCGACGGTAATGATCCTGGATGACGATCATAGCGGCATTTTCGGGTTTCCCGAGAGAGATGTAGAGCTAGTGGAGAGCGTAGGTCAGCATCCTCTGCGGGTAGTACGCTATAGTGGAGCCCGCGGTCGCGTGATTATCCCTTATCGTACTGAGGAAGGCACTGCAAAACCCGGCAAGCAATACGTGCATACTGAAGGAACGCTGACTTTTGAGGATAATCAGACAGAGTGAGTGACATATCTTTCTCTTTTTAAATTAGGCAATTAATTGAGTAAAATTAATTATTAAAGAGAGAACGAAATTATTTGAATTCATTATGCGATTTTATTATTTTATGCATGGTCTTCGGAATAATTTAATTGATGGGCTTATCGACAATCTCATTCCTTTAATGGTCAAAGAAAGAAAGATTTTTACCTTTAAAGGAAATTAAGAGATGTTTGAAAAATATCACAAAATCGTGACATAACGATAAATTTCAAGAAAAAGTAAATTAACCCTTAAATGCCACACCTCTCAAGAATCTCGTAAATGACATGAGGGGTCTAAAAGACCCCAGCATAAAAAATGTCTCCTTACTCATTGATTTTTTGATCTTTAGTTATGTTTTCAATGTTGTTCAAGGCTTAGAAAAGAGAATAAAATGCTTATATTGTTAAAATTTCAATTTCCACATTAAAAAATTAAGTAAACTGAGTACTGTTAAGTGTACAAACGGGTAGATCAATCACTCAACTGGGAGCATGAGCTCCATTTCTGGCAAGAACATTTGAAAATATATCATTGTAAAGAGTCTGGGGTCCGCTGGACCCCAGAGGGCATTTAAGGGTTAATAATTTACGGATAATCTAAAAGAATCAATTAATGCATATTTAATCTTCTTTGAGAGAAAAGAAATGTAAAGTATATATAATAAATAATAAGTAAACAAATTAAATAATAAAATACATTAACACATGTAGGGTTACTTAACGCTTGTATTTAAAATATCTTTGATCCAATTTTCTAGTTGATAAGAAGATAATAAATTAGTAAAAATATGATAAAATATAAGCAAAATGTATACTTATAAATGAATAAATATTGTAATGAAATATGAAAAGTATATTTTACTAAAATAAAATGTAATAAAATATAGCAGAACAAAATATTTTATTAACTGTAGAGATTGAGTGCGAAATAAATAAAATACACGATTCTAAAATATATTAATTAACACAGTAACTGATACGGATAATAAAATTTCTTCAAAACTTACTAATTAAAACTCAAAAGAAGATGCCCAGAAGATTTGAATGTAATACGAAAGAATGTAAACAAAAGTTTAGTGTGTTTTTGAGATCGATACTTGAAAGAAATTATAATAATTTGTTGTCATAACTTCAGATTAGTTTCATCGAATAGCATTATTATACTTGCATACATTGTATCGGTTATACCGAAGATGTGTATTATAACCACAGGTGGTTAAGCGTAATGTAAGGATCGATCGTCACCGCGATACGATCGGTAATTAAACTTGCGTCATATAATTAGATTGTCAGCTTACTGTGCAAGTTAGAAATATGAATTATTTGCAAAAAAAATTACAGATGACATTTCAAAAACTGAAATAGATGGCTAAAATGTATGGAACTAAAGTTAATGTAAAATCAAATATAAAGTACTCGTTTACTATTTATCTATTTAACATCGTTTGACTTATTCAAAAATATGAAGATATAAAATTTCATTACTTTTAAAAGTTGTTGGGGTTACTGAATATGAAAAAAAGATCAAAAGTTCAAAATAGCGGATACAAAAAAATAAAATATTTTTAAATTCTAATGTAATTGTGTATTGCTGAATACGAAAGTGATGTCAAAAGTCTAAAATGATATGGACCTAATATGGCGGATGCAAGAAATAAAGTATCTCTTTAAATTATAATAAAAGTTTGCACTCGTAAAGATATTTATATATAGATTATTGATGTATTATTAATTAATGTATCATATTAATTCATACAACTGGTAATTCAAATTTTCGTCAATTTTGAAACGGGCTCTATATTATACCACAGACAGGTATAAATGTATCGAAATTTCCCACACTAGCGTTCGATAGAATGCAGATCGCTTGCCTGTTGCAATTAACTGTACAACATGGGTTACTGTGCGATGTGCTGTAACTTGCACAATGCATTTCTATCGCAGCTTTATCAGTAATTAGCAACTCGTAGGAGATGATTAGAAGACCAGTCTAACACTCGTGCATTATCTAAACTTCGTTTCACAAAATATGACACTTGATAACAATATTACGTCTGTATCAAGAAATATTTACACATATTATACATATATTCTTTTTCATGATATATTTTACTCAAAATGTTTTATATACAAACGTATAAATATTTTCCTGACTTACTAGATGTATAAAGCTGTTGTTTAACTTTTTTAAAGTTATTGTTAAACTATATATTGATTTATTGGTATTGCGTGAGTTTTATTTTTTAACATTATCTATAATATTACTTTTAAAATATTATTCAAGATTTAATTAATTACTTTAGTCTTGAAATATATTGCCATGTTCATATTTAATTATTGTGTGTGCTCACCTATTCTATTATATTTTTAAATATCTTTTTTATATTTAACTACAATATTAATTATATTGATAATTTAATATTATGATATAATGCATATTATATTTATATAACATACGTTTATTATATTTCTATCGACGTATGTCCCTCATGCATATTATATTTGCTATATAAATTTATCGCATATATCGCGGCAAGTCATATCGTCGCCACTTTTTAAATTTTCATTGAATCTTGATTTGCAAGTGTAATAGAGGGTTTCAACACATAAACTCTCTTTATTTTTAATCTGAATTCTACCCGTTGCGTCGTAATATTCGCTTCCGATATGTACAACTCTCTAATTTGTCGCAATTGTTCGCAGTCTCGCATTGCTTCACGAACAATTATTGTAGATTATTTTGGAGATTTCTGAATGCATTTAAATTGAGGATTTGTCTGGTTTTAGGTCACAAAATAGAGTTTGAGAAAATCGCATTTGAAACTTTAGAAAATTGTTGCGGAGAAATATACAATATAGAAATATAGATAAAGCATGACTATTGATTTTTCTAAATTTTCAAGTAAAATTCTCTTTAAGCAAATGATATGTTTTGAAAGGAATATTGACAATAATTTTACTGCAGGAAAACTTTTTTCTTTTTCAATATCGTTAAAATAATATCAGAACATTGTTTATTAATTAAACTCGATTATTTTAATTGTGTTTGTAATTAATGCGATGAACGATTTTGTAGAGATAGTATATTATTTTTTTGCAATGCTTTGAATTTATCTTTTAAAAAGTGGAGACGAAGAGAAGAAGAGTGAGAGCGAGAAAGATTGTTATATTAAACATATTTTTCCTCAATAAACTTTCATAAACTTGACAATAAATCTTTATTAAAGTTTCCATTCCAATACGCGGTCTAGTTAAGGAATGTCTAGAATTTGCGAGATATTACATTGTTTTTCAAAATGACCTACAAACATAGTAATATTCTGTCATCGGAAGGTCCTCATTTATTACGAAAAGAAATTATAATACAAGTTATAAGAACTTGATCATAAAAGTTAATAAGAAGTAGCAATTATCGTAGCACAAAATTTGGTAATCAGTCATCGAAATGTTTGATATTAAAAGTCGAAAATTTAAAAAAAATAATGCTAAACAAAATCTTTGCTGAAAACTCCAAAAATTTTATTTCTAAAGT